TATGAAATCTTGTCTCTAAGCTGCCCCTTGTAATCTATATTCGTACCTTGAAACTTTCATATCAAGTTGAAAATTATTATCACCTTCGTTAGTTACTATGTGGAATTAAATAAATAAATAATAATTGTATCCATGTAAAGTGATCTATATAAATGCGATTGTACAGCTGCTTTTGAGAATGAAATCACCGAAAAGATCGCCATCTTTGCTGAACTTCGTGTTCTCTTTTATCTAATTTTTTTTTTAATTTTTTTTTTAATTTTTGATTTACAGCTTGATTCCAAACTGTATTTTTGGTACAATTATGGAATTTTCAGCATGGATATCGGTAGCCCAAATTTTGCAGGCCGACCATAGATATCAGGTGTGCGCCGGCGTGGGCTCGAACCCCGGACCATGTGCATGGTCGGCGAGAGTCCTAACCACTGTGCCACCGACGTCCATATGGGTATTTTCCCCGGAATAAATAAATGTTCATCCCTTTTTGGTCACAGTAGAAAAAGAGGCTATACATACTTCTTTTGTACACAAATATCTGGCTGGCTTAAATTCTTGAATAACCAAGGCCTCAGATATCTTTAAAGATTTCGAATGAAGAAAACGTGAAAAGTTAGCATGAATTCGATAGATGGTCTTAAAATTATGATCGAGGTTTTTGTAGAGTCAAAATAGAACTTTTCACTCCCCTGTAAAACGATATGCTGGAATGCACTTTTACGTATCCATGTGGAAAACATACCCTAGTTATAACCAGGATATATCTTGCTGCAACAGAGGGGGAAAAATGATAGATGTGTAACCACAGGAGATAAGCGCCAGCCAACAGATCATTTATTGACAAAATCAACAGATATTTATAGATTTTTCCTATCAGAGTTATTGTTAGCGGGGAAGCAACGTCTTCTGAATGGTTCTTTTCTTGCTGAAGGTTATTCTGTACTGCTTGTGACCGTCTCTCAGAGAGTTAAGCCATATATCTGTGAATCATATTTGCACACGCTAGGTCTGCTGTGATTGCTTGGCGAGTTCCTCAAGGTTAAGCTTCCTTATTGTTTTTTTCTCATGCTCCCGATTCGAGACGTAAAAGTTGACGTAAATTGCTGTCTACAGTTTTGGCTAGCAGACAGCTCTCACCACAGATATGTTTGGTTTTCATACTAATCCTATTAATTTTACATCCCTTCCCAAGATCAATACTTTCTATGAAATATTCTATAAATCTTATTATTTATTTTATCGCTTGATTTATTTCTATCCTTTTATTCCTTTACGTTTCCAGGAAAACATAGGGCGCCTTCAAGCTAGATGCTTTAAATTTCAGTAGCAGTGATGTTTACTTTTACGGGATGGAGTTGTTGGCCAGCCTCATGCCCAACCTTCCCTCTTTACCAGTCTTATTACTCACTTAGCGAGGTAAAGAGGTGTGTCGGCAGGGGATCGAACCCCAAACCACGTGTGGTGTGATCGGCCCAGCATTCTACCGCTGTAACACCGAGGCACTTGCCGCTAGATATTGAACTATAGTTATTATCATATATTTTTAACCGTATTTCACATAATTAGTATTATTATCATAAGTATTTACACATTTTTATTTGAATTTCTTCACGTGATATAATTTCTAAGAAATCATTTTTGTTATCGAAAAAATATATATGTAAATATAAGAGCACAGTTTGATAATAAGTTCCTTGATAAACATCGTGTTTTGTAATGTTATAGTGTGGTGGTTTGGTGGTTCAGCGATAGGAGGCGCAACAACCATGGACTTGTTCTGAGGTTCAATCCCCCGCCAACACACTCTTAAATCTCACTAAGTCGCCAGTAAGCCAGTTAAAGAGCTAAGATTGGACTACTGTGAGGCCAGTAAACCCATCAAGTAAAAGATAAACACCCTCACCACTGAATGTTCAAAGACTAAAGCTTAGAATCTTAAATATGTTCAAAACAGAACGCAGGGCAATGAAGAAGGACAAAAATAGATAACTAAGCTCTCTAACGTAATATATTTATATATGTCCAAACTAAATTCACTTTTAACAGTTTGAAAAAAATTTGGGCATTGGGTACATGTGGTATTCATCATTATAAAAGATTTTTTTGTATTTTCCAATGAATGAAAAACAAAATGATATAGCTGTTTTTACTGACGTCTCGTTATTTTTAATGCTACTGCTAATAGCTTTATCAAAGTGTTATTAAATATTAGTATTAGTCTTAGACGAGCGCACTCTGATGTTAATGGATGAGCAAGGAAAAGAAGAAGAGATATCAAACATTACTGAAACTCTCCCCAAACAAAACAACTACCCCAAAAAACTTCATCAACAAAATCAACACAGACATTAAGTATGGCTGAAAACGCATTCCGAAAACATGGGCCTCAACAGTCTTCATTCCATATAGAGCAGAGACGTCTGACGATATCAGAAGAGTACTCAATCAGCTCGACATTAGAGTTTTCTTCAAAACATCAGACACACACTACAAAGCAACCTTGTCCATATAAAAGACCAAATCCCGAAAGATTCTCTATCTAATTGTGTCTATAAAATAAAAAAACATACTCGGAATGTGATGTGATCTACATCGGATAACCATCTCAAGAATTCAAAATCAGAAGAAATGAACACCGTATAGCCGCCTCAGTTCGATTACCGAGAAATCCAGTTGAACTAGAAAAACTTGAAAAATCATCACCCATATGTCGTCTACACGCTATAGAATCAGGCCAAAAAATTGATTTTGACAATATTGAAATAATCCAGAAAAACTTCAGAAGTCACAAAGAACGTCTAATATCATCAGAAGCACTTCATATCATTAAATAGAATCCAAATTGTCTGAATGGGAGTGATGGACTAAAACAGAATCTGACCTGGTTACAACACCTCCCTCCCTTCCCCCATGAAGTGACGAAATCAACACGAATGTGATAAGCAAGTTCACTATGTAAACACACACTACTTTTATAATTTCACACATTGATCAAATCCAACAATCTACACTTGATTTTGTTATCTTTACCAAGTCACCAACTAGATAACGAAAAATGACTCCAGATTGACGAACAATGATCAAGTTAGCAAACTTTATTTTGATATCACAACAGATGTACTATTACCTTTGTTATTTGGTTTAGTGATTGATCTTCATTGTTATTTTGGCTTTCAGTATATCTCTTTAACTTGACCTAACCTGTCTATTTTCTCACCCGTTATTTCTTTGTTATATGTATGCTGAGACTTTGTAAATTCTGGTTTAGTAATACTACTTTCATACATTTATTCCCCTTAATGAATTTGAACAATGCAAGAACTACAGTTTTAGCAGAATAAAATGGTACCATCTTTTATTTCGTTGCCTTCTCGTCAGCTGCTTACATGGCAAAGACATTATTAAATATATCTACAACAACAATTTTAACATACTTGCACAGAGTTCAGTTTAAACAAAAATCAATCGATCAATATACGCATACACTAAAAATATATACATATATAAATATGCAATATTAACCACTATTCCGAACAATAATAATCAAACACAATGGAAACTTTTAGCATTTCACATTCGGAGGAAAGAGAGGTGAAATTATCCAGTTACCAGGGCAAAGAAAGGCTGATAACCGCTTCTTTCTGGACGCATAAATCAGGTTTCAGGCGCTTGATGGAAATGGCTTCAGCAAACTTAAGGAGAATTGAGCTATTTTGCTTATTGATAATTTTGAACGACTTTTCAACGTCCACCTCATGACCCGTGTCGAGAAGATGCCTGGTGATGGCACTGTTTAAAGCATTTGTTCCCTTTAGACGTAAGCTTTTTGGTACATGTTCAGAAAATCGTAGATATGCCCTTCTTTCTGTCCTTCCAATGTAACTGCTCCCGCAGATACATGTAAATTTGTATACACAGTTGGAGGTAACATGAGAAGGATATCTATCGATTTTTGATTGCACCAAAGAGCAAGTTGTTCGATAGACGGGAACGAGCTTAGCTGCAGGATACGCTATGGCTAGTGATGTACTCAGCCTTCTGTTGATCATCGCTGCAATATTTTCACCTTTATAATCAAGCTGAAGGTAGACTGGCTTTTTTTCCACTGTGATTTGTTTTACTTTTGTGACTTCAGATCTTCCATACTTGTTGATGAACCTTTGAGGATACCCATTTCTCTTCAATATATTTTCAAGGAACTCAAACTCCTCCTCTAGTTTCTCTGTAGAGCATATTCTCCTCGCTCTATAGTACAAAGTTTTGACTAGACCACGTTTAAAGCTATGTGGACAAAAGCTATTAAAATGCAAGTATTGTCCTTTCCATGTGGGCTTTCGATAAATTGACTTTTGAAGACCACCGTCTTCTAGGCGTTCCATGGCTATGTCGAGGAAGTGAAACTTTCCGTCACTTTCGTGTTCCATAGTGAAGTCAATATTGGCGTGTGCACCATTGAATAATCTTAGTAAGTGTGAAGCAAAATAGCTCAATTCTCCTTAAGTTTGCTGAAGCCATTTCCATCAAGCGCCTGAAACCTGTTTTATGCGTCCAGAAATAAGCAGTTATCAGTCTTTCTTTGCCCTGGTAACTGGATAATTTCACCTCTCTTTCCTCCGAATGTGAAATGCTAAATGTTTCCATTGTGTTTGACTATTATTGTTCGGAATAGTGGTTAATATTGCATATTTATATATGTATATATTTTTAGTGTATGAGTATATTGATCGATTGATTTTTGTTTAAACTGAACTCTGTGCAAGTATGTTAAAATTGTTGTTGTAGATATATTTAATAATGTCTTTGCCATGTAAGCAGCTGACGAGAAGGCAACGAAATAAAAGATGGTACCATTTTATTCTGCTAAAACTGTAGTTCTTGCTTTGTTCTAATACTACTTTGATATAACTATTAGCGAAACGTCAGTAAGAACAACAATATCGTCATGCCTTTTTCATTCAGTGGGAAATACATATATTTATATATAAACTCACAATATAACTTACCATTGACCAGATTATAACACCGGCGTAAAACGAAATAATAGATACACATCGTTTCAGATGTTTCACTTCTGATATATAGGCACACAGGAAAAAATTACCTGCCGCAGTTAATCAAGTCTGTAAGTAGAAGAAAAGTGGATGGGGAGGGTGAAAGGAGAATTTTCATACATTTGGTTCCCTTGATAAATTTCGATAGAGAAAGAAAGACCAGATTTGCAGTGTAAAATGTGATATCATCATTCTATTTCACAGGTTCCCCTCATCAACTAACTGCAAACCACTACCTGAAATTACAATGGTTATAAATAATAACACTTCATACTTCATTGTTTGAAAGGTAATAGAGGAAACATTATAAGGTGAATATTAAACATACTAAGGACAGCGAATCTACTACGATTTGACTGCTGAAGCAATTGCAATCAAACTTCTCAGACCACACTTATGCACACAGACAGAGAGAGTGTAGTCAATCTCTCAGTCAATCCCTTGGTAACCATATCACTTTCATTACGCTGATTAGTCATACACACTAGTGAGCTCAACTCACTAAGCAAGTTTTCAAATTGATGAACTTTGACTTTATTGAGTTGCCATGTTGACACTGTTTATTAGATTTTTTTTCTGTTTTCTGTCTTCTCTCACCCCCACCTTTTTTCTTTTTTTTCATAGTTTGACAGTATATAAATTGATGGTAACTTAAACTATAAATTATAATACTTATATTCCAGATGCGTTCACCTTATAATGTTTTCTCTATTACCTTTCAAACAATGAAGTATGAAATGTTATTATTATTTATAACCATTGTAATTTCAGGTAGTGGTTTGCAGTTAGTTGATGAGGGGAACCTGTGAAATAGAATGATGATATCACATTTTACACTGAAAATCTGGTCTTTCTTTCTCTATCGGAAAGGAGAATCTTATAAGTTAATTTAACAAAATTATGATTACTTAAACGTTTTTACAACAATAATGTTTTATAGCAAAGCTAGGAGAAAATCGACTTGATAAACATTGAACAAACAAGCTAAAAGAACACATTGACCAGGAGAAAACAATGACATCATCATTAGATTTCATTGGTTCTTGTCAGCTACAGACAAGGTCGAAAGACGTCATATGTGATATGATATGATGTACGTAGGATTCTCAATGAGGTTGAAATTAGGGCAGCTAAATCTTTCAGAGACAAACTTTATCAGCTTAACCACTCGTCTAATAGATCCAATTAAGACAAACTAAAAATATTCAAGTATTGGTTTGTAGTAATTTGATTGGTTTGGTTACAGGATTTCATTGTGAGCTGACATTGATGACAGAAGCATTGGAAAACCAGCTGGGAGTACTGGACAGCCAGTTGTTTCGTCAGCCTAGCTTGAGACTCTTCATCAATGCGCACCCACCACTAGCGTTCGAGCCCAGGACCTTCTGGTTACAAGGCTAGCGAGCTCGTAGGCTATTAAACCATTCACAGGGATTTGATCCAATGGCCAACCCATGAATTCTAACTTCTGACAATTCATGGCATAGCGCGATCGCTAGCCAATGTCTTTGTGAGTATTCGTCCTCACACCTGAAATGCTGCACCCTACTGGTTACAACTTCTCACTAAGATTTTACTTGAAGATAATGTACGAAGGGAAAATATCATCCAATAACAAACAACAGCCGATGGATCATGAGTGCTAACTTCTGCCGATTGGCGATATGTGTAACGCAACTACCAGGCAATGTCATCGACAAGCAACTATCCTCCTGCCTGACTTAGTGAATCTCGCTGTTTACGACTTGTCACTAGAAGTTCAGATAACTTCCTGTATAGGGCCAGATAGACGGCTGTTCTATGTCTCGTGTATTGAAATCCATAGACCATTCAATCGGCTTTCAGTGTCTGAATGGTCCACGAGCTCGCCTTGTAACTATAAGTTCTTGGATAAGAACCCAAGTGGATAGACACTACTGAAGAGTCCAAAACTACAACGAAACATTTGTACAGTAGTTTGTGGTTTACCAATAATTCTGTGTGACATCAGATCGTGATCAAACCTGTGAATTATCTGATCATCACATATGTGTAGCATTTATTTTGTACACCTATTCATTTGCTACATTCCTTCATAATTCTGGAATATTCCTGAATAGTTTATTTCTATACACTCCAAGGAACTTATCAGTAACTGTTACTCCTTTCCATTATGCTGTTTAACCGTATGGTCTTAATATCCTACGAGTTTGATAGCGAATTAGAGAACCATTGAAAACGCAGGAGTATTAAACAGCCAGCTGTTCCGTCCTCGTTCAGGAGTCTCCATGAGGACACACCCACCAAGAGTCGATTCCGAGAAATTTAAGTTACAAGGAGAACTGGCAAAACATTTAGCCTCCAGGAATTCACTTAATAGCCCATCATTTCAAACTTTTTCTGCTGAACTGCTATATAAACAGCGCCACCACCAGGCATATCATCAGTGAATATTTGTCCTGATAACTAATCTGATGAACTGCACTGAGGTCACGACTTCTTAATAGAACCCCAGGTAACTTCGTCTTGTAATCAGTTACTCACTAGCGAGCATTAGAGTAATTCTCAAGTGTTGATTTGCAAAACTTTGACCACAGATCGACATCATTTAAAAAACCGCTGGAAACCACAGAGTAATTACTGTATAGCTGTTTCGTCCTTGTTTAAGACTCTTCAGCAACTATTTTTTATTTTGCATTTATTAATCCTGTGTTAAAGAAGTAATAGGAAAAAAATCCACTCTTGACTGTGTATTATAGGAAATGATAAGGCTATTGATACGAATGGAATTCAAACTGCATTCAAACATACATACTTAACGCTAAATGTTGCTTACAGGAAGTCAGAGTCATATGAATGCAGGTGAAAATTCTCACTTTGTTTTTGGTCAAACACCACAAGAAGCACATGATTTCAAATTCATGGGTTTTTTTTAAAAAGAGAACAAATGCTGTTACGTAAGCAGTTAGTTGGATGAGAGGAGATAACTGACACAGACATTGGAAATATATATATATATATGTTTAGGCCTTAATTTTTCCCCCAATATATATGCGATAAGCTGCCAGAAAGTCAATAGTATTAGACTTCATTCATTGGGAGAGTTGTTTAGTTTTTTCACGGTTATATGGATGAATGATTTTCCGTCATTTATCCCAAAAGTTTTAAACACTTATTCTTATGACTCCTAAAAGGTAGGCTATAGCTAGTTAACTTGTACTTCCCTATAATAGATAATAGATAAAACTAACTGCCAAGTCTTTATTTGCCTGGTGGGGTCTAAGGTGCTGCAGAATCTCAAACAAGGACGAAACAGCTAGCTGTCCAGTCAGTACTTCCTCGTAGTTTTTCAGTAGTTCTCTCCCACCCCCCCACCGACTGAAGTCACTTCATGAACAAACTTGAAATTAATCAAAACATCCTGCACACAAACATTTGAGAATTACTCTAATGCTCACTAGTGAGTGACTGATTAGAAGAGTTCTACAAGAAGTGGGTGTGATGATAGATGCTCGCTGATGCAGATGACCAGCGGTAGCGCTATGTATATAGCGAATCAGTAGAAGTCATAACTGATGGGTTATAAAGTTTCTTCACAGAAGCTAAATTGGTGAAACAGCTCGCCTTTTAACCTGAAGATTCTGAGTTCGATTCCTAGAGGTTGGTGTTGTGTGTGCGTTCTGTTAAGGAGTCTCACCACAGGACCAAGAGTTGTCCAGTACTTCCGGGTGATTTTTCAGTGGTTCGCCAAATGAAGTCAGTTCGTGATCAAACTTGAAATCTATGTGAGATCCTTGCAAACCAAAACTTGAAGAGATCATCAATAATCAATATCTCAGAGTCATAAAGTTGGATAGAACGAATACGCATACAGCACAGTACCGTGCAGTACACACTTGTTTGTTGATTCCCTTCTGGGGCGATAATCTTCCTCATAGTCGTCAGTGCAGGTGAGATGTAGGCGGCGTAGAACTTGAAGCTAAGACCTACTGACTGAAAACCAACTGTCTAAACGAATGTACAAAATCATCACTATATACTTAACTGTAACTAAAGAATTCATAAGCTGGTCACAAGTCTTATTCTGATTACAATTGACTATTTACGACAAAACAATCTCAATCTAGCTGAGACTGTGGTGAAAGCTATCTGCTGGCCAAAATAGTAGACAACAATTTACGTCAATGTTCACCTCCCGAATTGGGGTCATGAGAAAAAAATAATAACAAAGCTTAACCTTGAGGAATTCACCAGCCAATCACGGCAGACTTAACGTGTGCAAATACGATTCGAAGATATATGGCCTAACTTTCTAAGAAACGGCCACAAAGAGATGACAGAATAACATTCAGCAAGAAAACAACCAGTCAGAAGACGTTGCTTCTCTCCAACAATAACGCTAATAATAACGTACATAAAAATCTATAAATATCCCTTGATTTTCCCAATAAACAATCTGTTGCCTGGCCCTTGTCTTCTGTCGTTACAAGACTAGTATTTAACTAGGCGCATAATTTTAACGGACTTAACGTAATTGACTATTTTATGAGAGACCTGGCCACTGAGAGTGGAAGACATGAAAAGACTAGCTGTCTTTGATCATAGGTGCCTGCGTTCTATTTCCCGTGTAAAGTGGCATAATAAGGTGAGCAACATGGAGGTTAGGCGTAGAGTTCTAGGTAAACAGCGGAAATCAATCGACGAAGTCGTGAAGCTACAAAGACTGAGATGGTTAGGACATGTGTTACGTATGCCAAGCCATCGCCTCCCTCGACGAGCTATGTTAGCGGATATAGGGTCAGGCTGGAAAAAAGCTAGCGGCGGTCAAACAAAAACTTGGCCCCACCAGTCAATGAAATCCACAACAGTTGGTCTAAGCCACGTAGGAAGGTGTAGACTTCCAGGCTGGGGGTCCTCGGGACGGTAAAAATCTATGGTTGGAAACAATTGGTGACATGGCTCAAAACCGTTCTCAGTGGCGCAGATGCATCCACTCCCTGTGACTTATGATCTTCAATGAAACTGTTTTGTATTTCTTTATTACTCCTTTGTCTCACACCTCTGCTCACTGTTTCTATTATGCTTTTCTTG